TCTCTCTCGTTTGCTGACTTGGCTTGATTTTTAGGACCAAATCCTTTGCTGAGAAATGCAATAGGATGTTCTTCCTGCACAAGCACTGCTCACATACCATAGCTAGAAGCACCTATCTCAATGACAAATGTTTTGTCAAATCTGGAAGAGCTAATACTGGTGCATTACATAATAGCTTCTTCAAATGTTCAAATGTTATTGTTTCTTCTTCATTCCAAACAAACCTCTCCTTCCTTAAAAGATCTGTTAAGGGTTTTTCCACTTGACCATAGCCCTTAATAAACCTTCTGTAATAGCCAGAAAGACCTAAAAACCCTCTTAGATGCTCTAGTTTTTTGGGAATAGGTCAGTTATTAACAACTTCAACTTTATGTGGATATGTGCTTACTCCATCGGCAGAAATAAAATGATCCAGATACTCAACCTTGGTAATCGTTAGATCACATTTACTTTTCTTGAAGAAAAATGTATTATCCTTGAGAACCTGAAAAACTGTCTCCAAATGCTGCATATGATCTTCTAAGGTTCTGCTATATTTGAGTATGTCATCAAAAAATACCAAGACAAACTTCCTGAAGAATGGTTTGAAAATATGAGTCATAAGGCCTTGGAAAGATGATGGAGCATTAGTTAGTCCAAAAGGCATAGCAACAAACTCATAATGACCCTCGTGAGTTTTGAAAGCTGTTTTATGAACATCATCCTTATGCATTCTCAACTGATGATAACCACTCCTTAAATCCAGTTTTGAGAATATAGTATGTCACGCCCAGACCGCGTCTGTGCCACGTGGACAACCGTCGTACAACCCAATAAGAATAACCGCAGTTCATCCTTACCGAATTGCACAAGACGTCCGATAGATACATATGCCAAAACCGATTAGTAAACATACATAACAACATCAACATACAATCAAACACGTAGCGGAATATGAGTGTTTAATAAGAACCCACACAAGGGTAAAACAAGAGCTCGCAGGCTCCATTAATTTATAAGTCAAAATAGTTCCATGAGCATTATTTAATTATTTAAAAATAGAACGAGAGGAAGCACGAACCACGTCTTCTCTCCATCGATCTCCCGAGCAACGGGTGCAGGAAGTAAGCTCTAGCTTCAACCTGAAAGGGTGGTTCCCCCGAGGGATCAGTACTACAGAAAAGTACTGGTGAGGGCAAACTGTATGTAATGTAACTAACGTTTCTCACGTGAGACCCTCAAAATAGGGTGATAGTATAATTATGGGCATAACTCTTAGCTACCCCTTTTCAAAACAAAATGTATACATATATACATATGAGTAAAATATCTGGCCCGTGGGCCCATTTGTCTTTCAAATCATTTAGGCGTAACAGCCTCATTAAATTCACCCTTCCCATGTCTTACCCTCGAGTGGAGTCACCCGCAGGCTAACTCACTCGATGCCAAAATAAAATTACTGTGGGGCCCTTTGGACTCCCATATCACGGACATGGTTTAAATCAATTCCTAGACCAAGGAAAATATTATACCGGAAACTCGTTCCCGATCAAGCACGTTTAATCATTTAAAATCATTACTTCGAGGTTCACCTACCTCGAGGACTATCCGTCCTTGCTATCACAGTTTTCATTCCCGGGTTAACCCCGCCTTGAGGAGTACGCATACCCCCTCATCCTATGTGTAATTTACTGGAGGTTAACACACCTCAAGGACTACACTTGTCCTTGTTACCTATATGCACTTTGATGGAGGTTAACACACCTCAAGGACTGCATTTGCCCTTGTTACCTATATGCAATTTGATGGAGGTTAAACACACCTCAAGGACTGCATTTGCCCTTGTTACCTATATGCAATTTAATGGAGGTTAAACACACCTCAAGGACTGCATTTGCCCTTGTTACCTATATGCAATTTGATGGAGGTTAAACACACCTCAAGGACTGCATTTGCCCTTGTTACCTATATGCAATTTGATGGAGGTTGAACACACCTCAAGGACTGCATTTGCCCTTGTTACCTATATGCACTTTGGTGGAGGTTAACACACCTCAAGGACTGCATTTGCCCTTGTTACCTATATGCAATTTGATGGAGGTTAAACACACCTCAAGGACTGCACGGGCCCTTGTTAACGTTTGAGTGTAGAGGACTCCTCCTGGTCATATACAGTATTATATAACATTACTTGGTCCCGAGTACTTACTCGCCATGTATAATCCACCACGTACCTCGCCTGGTCGTGGTCTATAATTTCTTTACTAACGACTAGTCCAAGTCTTAGCGTTTAAAACGTATTCCAAGCCTTATCATTTTAAACATCATATTTCATGCAATTCCATGCAAAATATTCATATATAGGATGGCCAGAATTAATCCCACGTCGAACCGAGTCCGATTTGGGTTTTTAACAAAAATCAGTCCTGAAAGCCGATACATAACCGGCGCCGGTTTTACCCATAACCGGCGCCGGTTTACTGATTTTCTTGAGTAAACCGAACCATAACCGGCGCCGGTTTTGCCTATAACCGGCGCCGGTTAACCCCTGGGCAACCGGTCAACATTTTGGTCAATGCCCGTTTGACCATCCAAACGGGGTCCGATTTCCACGAAATTTTATACGCTTATGCAACAAGTCATTCTTAGTCCAAAAATATTATTTTGGACGTCCAAATCATCACACATAATTTATAATCATTTTCTGTCCAAATTAAAACATATTAAATACACTTATTAATACTATTAATAAGTAAATCTTTCCTTAATACATTCTTAGATGTATTTAACATTTCATGGAATATCATTCTGTTTTATTTGAGTAATCTCATGCCCAAGCCCAACTCATGGCTCATGATCCTTTCTTACAACCTTTTATTCATACCATTAATTGATTAATCATTAATTATGCCATATTTCCATAATCCATAATTAATATGACTAATCACATATCACATATCTTTTTATATTTCTTTACTAGATAACTCTAGTTAATCACATACACGGTTCAAGTATACGTTCTTATTCATTTAAGAAAAATATACTCATGATTAATTAATAAATTAATCTATTTTTTTTATTAATCATATAATACTTCCATAATCCATATTAAATATGGATAATCACAACTTTACAACCCTTTTATATTCACTTACTAGATTATTCGAGCTTATCTCACACATGGTTCAAGTATATCCTCTTATGCATTAAGAAATATATACTACGTACTAATGATTAATTAATAAATTAATCTATTTTTTCATTAGTCATATACACCATGACTAATCATGCATTTTAATCCATTTCATCATTTCTCAAATCATGGTTATGATTTTATTTAGGTAATCCCACGTTTGAACCAAGAGTTACAAGACACGTAGTCGTCCACTCACCTTGAAATGACGCTAGCAAGCTTTTATCTTCTTTGTTCGAACTCCGGCGACTTTTGAATTTTCCGGCGAAAACTCCGGCGGCTCCGGCGACTTTTCCGGCCACTCCTAGATTCCTCGAGAAGTCTAGAATATCTTGGTAAAAGACCTAACAAGGTTTCATAAACCAAAAGTGGTATAAACATCAAAACCTTCCGAGAAGGTGTTTTCCGGTGAACCGGTCTTACTCCGGTCATAACTCCGTTCATGGTTATTAGCCAACCCTTTGGATGATTAAATTACTATATTAAGGTCTTATACTACACTTATAATCGTGTAGGATATCCACTTTATTCGTTAATAGGGTTTATAAATAATTTTGGGTAATAACTAGAAACCAAATACAAACTGTTTTGAGAATCCAGATTTATACCTCGTGTGTTTATCTGCCCTTTTTGAGCTGTAAACACCTCGTATCCTTAAGTGCAGCACCTCGTATGAAAGCTCTCTTCAAGACCTATCTAATGACACCTTACTCGAGCTCATTGGATAAGAGATGCGTGAGATATGAAGTGAACAATCTCGAGGGTTGAAATTGTACGAACTGGTTGGCAGCCTCCTCTCTTCTTGCTTCCTTCTTTCCCCTTGTTCTTAGCTCGAGTAGAGCTGGTGGAGATGATGTTTTTGAGACTCCTTTCCTCCCTAATTGGTGCTAGGGCCGAAATAATAGGAGGGTGGGTGAGTGAGATGTCCTTGTTGTCTTTCATGTGTGAATGGTGTGGGGGAGAAGTTCATTTGATGACTTGATTAATCCCCCCATCATCTCAATTCATTTCCAGCTCTCCAACATGGTCCTCCTCACTTATTTGAGACCATAAGTCGTGGGGTGGCCCCCACCCATGTGGGAGGTCATCCCTTTATGTCCCAAAGTGTACAATTGGTCCCGAAAGTTGTATTTTTCGGACTGTTTTAATTATATTTTATTTTATCGGGTTAAGTAAAATATATATCATTCTTCCAATTAATATTGGACTCTAAAATGAATATATATTACCCAACTTCAATTTAATGGTCCCCGGAATTTATTTCGGGCTGTTATCTGATTAACTAACTATACCGATAATGGGACCTTGTTTGATCGAAAGGCCAACTTTATGGCTCAACATTAATTTACACCATCATATAAATAGTATCTAGACCGAGATGAATATATTATGTGGTCCTCAAATATCGGATGGTCGCCGCCCACGTGTGGGCCCAACGTGTATTTTACTGTTGAAGTAACAGTAAAAATGAGAACGCGTTGCCTCGAAAATTCACTCGTCATTTCTCATTACATAATATGTGGTTTCATGTTTGGTGACACTTTAATAAAATGTTACACTTATTTTTAAGTGGCCCGAACTGTATGAACAAATAACATCTTATCTGTTTATTCTTATACGAAAATATCTTCAAGGTAGGGTCCTCCAAAAGTACCCACCTCTAATATGTCAATTTAATCAATATTATTCATCCCATTATTTTGGTTTCTTAGAATGTTTATATTTCTTCTGTTATAAATTCGTAGTCCTATGAATTATTGACAGTCCGATAATTAAGGACTCCTCACTATCGAATAGTGGCCCTGGCCCGCTCGGCCGTCCAGTTGTCGATCTTTATAACAATGGGGTCCACGACCCATTCCTACTATCATAATAGTATCGTTTTGGAAAATAGTAATATTTTATAAACTTGAAATACCACGTGTGGTCCCACGTTTAAATTAATAACCCTTTATTAATTTAAGACAAAATTTTTACTTTCTCATTTATCAAGACTACTCTTAGTCTTGATTTACCTTCTTTAACCGAGTACTTTATGAAAAAAAATTTTATCTGGGTAAAATTCGGGTCCGGTGTTACAAGTTCACCCCCCCTTACAGGAATTTCGTCCCCGAAATTAGCGTCTTAACCTTGAGAAACGCTTCTCCCTTCATTTTCTAAAGCTAAAAATTTTGAACATAAAAATATTTATGGAAATTAAGGTTTAATTTAATAATACCTTATGCCATGGTCGGGCCTAACAAATGGCTTCCGCCATTCTCGGCCTTTACGAGCGAGTTCGCCATTGACTTTTAGAAGGTACCATGTTTGAGGCAACCCTAGTTGGGTTTTCAACCCCCGTGACCCCTTCTCTAGCTCCTGATGTTCCTTCACGCGTACGTTGAGGACAAAGAACCTTGATGTGGCCTGTTTCTCCACAAAAGTAACATCTAGATGGCTCTCGACATCTCCCGTAGTGCCTTCGCCTACAATTCTCACATTTGGGTGCCCCCGTGCCCCGAGTGCTTGAGCTTTGACTTACCAAGTTCTGACTCTCACTGAAAAACGGAACTAACTTGTTAGAGTCCCCCTTGCTCTGAAGTTCATATTTTCCCTCTCGTCGTGGAGGGGGAATCATCACTTGATCTCTTTCTTGTGCTTCCTTTGCATCCCTTTCTTGCCTTTCCTTCCAAAGCTCCTCCCCCTGAAGACCTTGGGCTACTACTTGACTAAAAGTCATGTTGAATTGGTAGGTCGCTCTTTCGCGTATTTCCAAATTGAGTGCATTCCAAAAATGGTTTGCCATTCGGTTCTCATTTGCGGCATACTCAGGCAAGAACCTTGCCAGATGTCGGAATCTTTGTTCCAGTTGCTTCACCGTAAACTCATTTCCCTGTTTGAGATCGATATATTCCCTCCTCTTTCGATTTACTTCGAAAGAGGTGTAAAACTGCTCATAAAATGCTTGCTCGAAGTTGTCCCACGTGACAACCCCGTCAAACTTACCCTTGGTGCCCTCCCACCAAGTAGAAGCTAAACCCTCCAATAATCTAGTGGCTACCCTTAACTTTCGTTCAGGGACCACCTGCATGTCATCAGCTGCATCATTTAACCTTTTTATCCACTCGGCTGCTTCCGATATGTCCCCCGTCCCATCAAACGGTTTGCACCCCAAGGCCCTAGCCTCTTTGAGGTACTTTGAGATCTTAATGAATGGTCCTTCACCATCAGAATCTCTAATTGTCTTAACCTGTACTCTATGAGCACCCCGACCCCTCCTGCGAGAGGTGTCGTCTCTGACATGTCCCACCTGGGATCTCTGTCGTTGCCTTTCCCTTTCCCGCTGGTACCATCGGTACATCTCACTAATCTGATCAGGAGGAATACTGTGCATATCCTCTCCATCGTTTCCTTCAAAAGAAGTTTCTTCAGACTCACTTTCAGGCTGATAAGTTGAGTCATCCTCCGAGTTCCACGACTCGAATTCAGTCACATTGTGATCAGCCATCGCAGCTCGTGTTTGTGGGCCTTGGTTGCCCATACCTCGCCTTTTACGCGACCTTGATATCCCCCGATTGGCTTGCCCGGCTATCCCCGGTCCGCGCCCTCTCGGATTTCCTCGAACCGCCCTATCACTACCACCCATTCCTGAAAGAATATGTTGGAATGAGTCTTTGGACTCGTTTGAATGTCAATTGACAGAAACGTACTCAAGACACCACTTGGCTCAAGTCACTGCCATACCAATTGTTAAGGGGCCCATCTTAACAACCAGAGACCTTGCAACTCGATAACCAAATGCTCTTAAAGTACAAAACTTATGCTCATGGTTTTTCATTGAAAACTGTTTTGATAGAAACTCTGTTGAGAGGTTGACTATATAGTTTAGAAATCGTTTGGCTCTGATACCACTTAATTGTCACGCCCAGACCGCGTCTGTGCCACGTGGACAACCGTCGTACAACCCAATAAGAATAACCGCAGTTCATCCTTACCGAATTGCACAAGACGTCCGATAGATACATATGCCAAAACCGATTAGTAAACATACATAACAACATCAACATACAATCAAACACGTAGCGGAATATGAGTGTTTAATAAGAACCCACACAAGGGTAAAACAAGAGCTCGCAGGCTCCATTAATTTATAAGTCAAAATAGTTCCATGAGCATTATTTAATTATTTAAAAATAGAACGAGAGGAAGCACGAACCACGTCTTCTCTCCATCGATCTCCCGAGCAACGGGTGCAGGAAGTAAGCTCTAGCTTCAACCTGAAAGGGTGGTTCCCCCGAGGGATCAGTACTACAGAAAAGTACTGGTGAGGGCAAACTGTATGTAATGTAACTAACGTTTCTCACGTGAGACCCTCAAAATAGGGTGATAGTATAATTATGGGCATAACTCTTAGCTACCCCTTTTCAAAACAAAATGTATACATATATACATATGAGTAAAATATCTGGCCCGTGGGCCCATTTGTCTTTCAAATCATTTAGGCGTAACAGCCTCATTAAATTCACCCTTCCCATGTCTTACCCTCGAGTGGAGTCACCCGCAGGCTAACTCACTCGATGCCAAAATAAAATTACTGTGGGGCCCTTTGGACTCCCATATCACGGACATGGTTTAAATCAATTCCTAGACCAAGGAAAATATTATACCGGAAACTCGTTCCCGATCAAGCACGTTTAATCATTTAAAATCATTACTTCGAGGTTCACCTACCTCGAGGACTATCCGTCCTTGCTATCACAGTTTTCATTCCCGGGTTAACCCCGCCTTGAGGAGTACGCATACCCCCTCATCCTATGTGTAATTTACTGGAGGTTAACACACCTCAAGGACTACACTTGTCCTTGTTACCTATATGCACTTTGATGGAGGTTAACACACCTCAAGGACTGCATTTGCCCTTGTTACCTATATGCAATTTGATGGAGGTTAAACACACCTCAAGGACTGCATTTGCCCTTGTTACCTATATGCAATTTAATGGAGGTTAAACACACCTCAAGGACTGCATTTGCCCTTGTTACCTATATGCAATTTGATGGAGGTTAAACACACCTCAAGGACTGCATTTGCCCTTGTTACCTATATGCAATTTGATGGAGGTTGAACACACCTCAAGGACTGCATTTGCCCTTGTTACCTATATGCACTTTGGTGGAGGTTAACACACCTCAAGGACTGCATTTGCCCTTGTTACCTATATGCAATTTGATGGAGGTTAAACACACCTCAAGGACTGCACGGGCCCTTGTTAACGTTTGAGTGTAGAGGACTCCTCCTGGTCATATACAGTATTATATAACATTACTTGGTCCCGAGTACTTACTCGCCATGTATAATCCACCACGTACCTCGCCTGGTCGTGGTCTATAATTTCTTTACTAACGACTAGTCCAAGTCTTAGCGTTTAAAACGTATTCCAAGCCTTATCATTTTAAACATCATATTTCATGCAATTCCATGCAAAATATTCATATATAGGATGGCCAGAATTAATCCCACGTCGAACCGAGTCCGATTTGGGTTTTTAACAAAAATCAGTCCTGAAAGCCGATACATAACCGGCGCCGGTTTTACCCATAACCGGCGCCGGTTTACTGATTTTCTTGAGTAAACCGAACCATAACCGGCGCCGGTTTTGCCTATAACCGGCGCCGGTTAACCCCTGGGCAACCGGTCAACATTTTGGTCAATGCCCGTTTGACCATCCAAACGGGGTCCGATTTCCACGAAATTTTATACGCTTATGCAACAAGTCATTCTTAGTCCAAAAATATTATTTTGGACGTCCAAATCATCACACATAATTTATAATCATTTTCTGTCCAAATTAAAACATATTAAATACACTTATTAATACTATTAATAAGTAAATCTTTCCTTAATACATTCTTAGATGTATTTAACATTTCATGGAATATCATTCTGTTTTATTTGAGTAATCTCATGCCCAAGCCCAACTCATGGCTCATGATCCTTTCTTACAACCTTTTATTCATACCATTAATTGATTAATCATTAATTATGCCACATTTCCATAATCCATAATTAATATGACTAATCACATATCACATATCTTTTTATATTTCTTTACTAGATAACTCTAGTTAATCACATACACGGTTCAAGTATACGTTCTTATTCATTTAAGAAAAATATACTCATGATTAATTAATAAATTAATCTATTTTTTTTATTAATCATATAATACTTCCATAATCCATATTAAATATGGATAATCACAACTTTACAACCCTTTTATATTCACTTACTAGATTATTCGAGCTTATCTCACACA